TTCCCTATATTTTGCAACCATCCAATAGTGGTCAGCATCACAATCAGCCCTTCTAAGTGATTTGTTATGAAGTGTAATAGATTGTTATCTTGTATCTGTCAAGACATGACTGATCTCATGCATCTCCACCAGGATAATCCCAAGTTCATTTATGAATTTTGCAATGTGGAAACATTGAACTTTCGACAGTTAAGTGTTATAGGACACTCCTTATAAAACAAAAAGTAAATCAAGAAGGGTGGTAATCCAGCAGTAGTATGGAATTTAACATTAAATATTGTTACAAAGTGCAGAATGGTAATTGATAATGAAACAGATATAACCATAAGAAGGAAGGGGGATGAGCTCTAGAGATACATCCTCACAGACTGGAATCACAATCACTATAAGTAGCATGCTCTGTTGAGCAGGTGGTACGAACTACAAGTGCTTCAGTTGTGTAAATCATTGCCAGGAAAGAAATATGAAAACAGTTAAGCAGATTGCAACAATGCAAGAGAAATGAATAGCACTGATGGACATACACAGAGTTAATGCATTGTTCAGAATGCCTTGTTATTAAATAAGGACACTAGACCTCACATGAGTATTGCAGTTGCCCAAGCAGATTGGTTGCATGCTTTCCTAGCATAAAACTAGGAAAAATAATATATTCAGAAAGATAAAATATCCGTGGAGGTGAAGAAATCAGTGTTTCAGAATGTAATTGTAAGTATATTTTTGATTATTTTTTTCAGATTACGGAAGATATTATTTTTGAATATATGCAACAAAAAATAATATATTCTCAGAGGCTACTTTACTGTGAAAAAATACTTGACTGCACTCTAAACTCATTGATTTCAACTGAGAGAGCTAAAAAAAGTACCATAAGGGGTTTTCCTGCTTGATTTTGTCTGTAATGGTGAACATGATAATGGCTTGTGTATTTTTACATCATATTTGCAAATTTTACATTAATTTAGCTGTTCTGTTCTTTGTTATTTGTGGGTTAAAACTAGTTATATATAGAAATACTTTTTCAGTCGAGCAACGTCTATAATTCTCTTCTAGGCTGTTCGCCATTTGCCATCATCTCAACAGGAAGAGTACCATCGTCTCAAGCAGCAGATTGTGGAGCTTGAAGAACAAAGGAAACGATGCCAACAGCAGCAAAAACCATTGCCCAAAAATATGACCAACACAAAATTAACTTCTCTTACTAGTGCTGAAAACAAGGAAGTTTCACAGAGCAGTCATGCATCTGCAAAGGTTGCGAGTGATTCAAAGAAGATTTTCAGAACTTCACACTCCACATACATTCAGGGAAATGTTGCAGTTAATGAAGCCAAGCAACAATATCCAGCTGGTCATGCACTAGGGTCTACAGGAATTATGGTTAGTGGGGGACCAGTCCTCACAATGGCATCAAATGTTACCCAAACAGCTTTTATTGAAAGCCCTAGTCATTTAATAGTTTCAACAGATGCATTACTGCAGAATTCAGCAGAAAATGTTTCCAGAACTGTCTGTACTGCTGCATCGGTAATTCATATTTCAAAAAAACTGCAAGGAGAGACTTCAGAAAAATCTGAAAAGTTAGAAAGTATGATAAGAAAGGAAGAGGAATCAGTGATGGGGTCAGAGGAGCATACATCATTAAAGGATGGGGTTCTTGGACTGTCTGCGTGTAAAAGTGATGGTCTTGCCAGCAAAGGGATTGCCTGTGATGAGTCACTGGATGACAAGGAAGAAAAATTAGCACAAGTTGAGCATCAACTACTGTCAAAAAGGTAATGTGAGTTCTTGTAAGCAAGCATGCATTGAATGTATATATCGCTTAACTGTTCCTAGTTCATTGATCAGAGGTGGACTCAAAATCATATTTATTACTATTCTGAAGGGTTCTGATGATGGTATAATACAGTCTGGACTTTGGGTCTGGGTTTTTGGACTTTGTCTGATGTTATAAAATTATGCAATGTTTTGAGAATTGGATCTATCCTTGTCTTCAGGTGTGGTGAAGGGGAAGGGCACCTATTCTGTGGAGTCCGTTAGGATGCACTAATCTCAATTGTTGGTCCAGTGATCAGATGATGGACAAAGTCTAAAAATCCAACTATTCAGTAATTTTATTCTGTTGAGTCCAATATGAAGGCAGCCACAACTCTGAATTCCATTATGTTTGTCCTTACATGAACTCATTCCAGCTCTTACATAAGGATTTTATAATTTGTTCATGAGCAGTTTGTATCTTTTAGTGGAAATTCTCATATTCTGTTGGCAGGAAACGTTTTGAAGGATGCAGTTGAGTCATATTTTTAAAAAACTAGAGGAATGCGCTCCTTTCGGAGCGCTTTCTCTAATCTGATATTTTATTTCTTTACGTCACTGTGCAGAGGCCAACTGTTCTTGGTCAGTCAACTTTCTACGTCCAACTCCACCCTTGCAAATCTTCGTCTTAAAATCGATTATAAAGTCAGTTTTCATAATAGTTTTTGTAATTGTAATATATCGAATGAGTAGTATTATTAGTATTAATTTACCTTGTTGGTGTTGGTACTTCAAATAGTTGATAACGTCTTCTTTCACTTTTCTTCATTTCTTAAATAGGTCTGATGTTTTAGTTCTTTATGTCGCTGTTCGGAGGCCAACTGTCAGTCAAATCTTTATTTTCAAGAATGCGATGTGCTGCTTCTGGAGCAGTGATCATGCGACTGTCTTGGTAGTTGGTGATCTCGTCGTCGTGAAGCGTCATTTGTTTACTCGGCATTGTTGTGTTGGTATACCAACACAACAATGCCGAGTAAACATATGACATAACATTGTTTGATGATGTAATTGTTTGGCGATGAAAGATTGGCGACGTCTGGGAATCACGAATTTTATGTTAAGATAATTTTCACGAAGTAAATTTTGACTACACTACTGCAAATAGATTTGCTGATAGTGTTGTTACAGCATGTAAATAAGACAATGGGAAAAGTACTGTTCTTTCTATCCATTTTTGCCGTACATATTCTTATACCAGAATTGCAGCAGGAGGGGGTGAGATTGGAAAAGGAGGAACACATGCATGGCAAATTAGAATTTGTAATATCCCTTCAGTAAATGTCAGAAAAGCTTTGGCATGATTTATGCATAAACATGAGCTTAGTTACGAAATTTGTTTTGACACAGGTATGAAATACTAGATGACCTGACAAGTATGACAGCTCTGCTGCACAAAGTAAAAATAGAACGTGCCAAAGAAGACGAATGTTTGACGGAGCTTCATCGTGTTCGTCGAGAACTATGCCAAGCTGAAGAACAGCTTGCTCACCAGAGGGAATTGCTTTCAAATATGTGTAATGATATGGCAGAATCTCATAGGCGCGTGGCCCGAGGACGAGCAGAGTGTATTGGTCTGTCCAAAAGTTGCCTGTCATTAGGGATTTGTGTAAAAGGCCGTCATTACAAGTAAGTACAGAAGTCTGTCTGTTCAGGCTCTACTCTTTGATGTAACTAAAACTGAATCTGTTATCAATAAGTCTCTGTTTCAAAAGTTTCTACAGAATACACTGAAGGCCTATGGCTTAAATTTACATTAAGTTGATAGTTGGTATTTTTCCTGTTTTTTGACCTGTTTGAAACTTGGTACAAAGTGGGCTATGGTTTTTTCTTTGAATCATTTCACTTGTGGATCTCAAGTATTTTGTATGTGAGCAAATAGATTTTTACCTCTGGTTTTCTGTATTTTGTATATAAAGTTATATCTTAGTAAGAGAACTGCTGTGATCAGTAGGTTTCCATCCTTGCCCTGAACACTTTTTCACTTGCATTGTCCACCTGATACAAATTCGAATTTGGTGTTGGTGACCAAGTTCATGTAATATAATGATACAAAGATGTAGTTAGGTGTGTTAGTTGAAAGTTTTAATTTTTTAATAGCTAGACTCATTGTTTCTGTCTGCAGGTATGTCATAGTATTTCAAATTTACATTCAGCTTCCCACTTTTTTGTCAACATCTTTGTTTAGTCTAATAGTTATTGGAATTAGTATAGCTACAAACTTCATACTGACATGACAATTTCCTATGTTTGTGAATCAGAATTTTGACCCATCAAAAGTAGCAACACTCCAAATTCATATACAGGATACTCCAGGTTAAAAATCAGCCTAAGAGACCAGCTGTCTTGACTAATCACCTGTTTTTTCTATGAGACTTTCATTAATAGTCATTAATATTAATTCATGTTTTTCATCAAATTAGGCAGAGATATTGGTGTCTTTGCTTAATAGGGAAATATTATTGAAATTATTATGCAAGCTGTATGCTTATTATATTACTTATAGTTTCAGACTTAGACAATTTTCAGCATCTGATATTTGTTCCTTTGAGTGCACTGAAGGCCATATTTGATATTTCAGATTATGTTTTGCTTGAAAAGAATGCATGGAGAGTAGTTTAAGTACATATATTTGTATCTTTTGTTGTGTTTATATGTGTGCTATATGCATGATGTGAAAGTAGTTACTGCTGAATTATGTTTAAAATGTCTGATAGTTAAATATTCTGCAATATTTCTTATGATTTTGGGTGACTGTCTTAATATTTTTCTTTTTTCTATATATATGTTAGGGTACCAGCTGGAGGTGCAGAGCTTATGAACCTTAAACTACAACAGGTTGGAGCTCAGACACGACAGATGTCTAAAAAGAAAGAATATTTGGAGGACAGTGATGAGAATCAAGCTATTATTAATTTTCAAATGCCAGTGCAGGATAAGACAACAGTAAGGAAGGCTTGTATTGCATACGAGGGCACTGAAGATAATACCCAAATTTCTAATACAGTTTGTGCTTCCCCTGCACTGGATGTGAATGAAGAAAGTGGTTTGCAAAAAATCAAAATAGTACCCAGCCAGTCTACTGAAAATTCCACTATGTTGGTTACCAAGTCTGACATTTCACAGCCAAAATATATGAGTTGCTCCGACACTCTGGGTTTTAAACTGTTAGAACAGCCTTTTGCATTTTCAGTGCCATCATCAAGTGCAGAAAGTAAAATTGATGGCAGTGCAGCTTCAAAGTCAGACAAATATGTTTCTGTTCCAAGTAAAAGTGAAAGTGATTGTGTTTTGACTGAGAAGGATCAGAATGGCGTTTCTACTATGTCTGACGTTAAGGAAATAAGCACAGGTGTATCAGAAGACTTACGTTCAGAAGCCACAGAAATTATGGTGATGGGAATGAGTAGCAGCTCAAAGGAAACAGTGCTACAACACATTGCAAAGTACAGGTCACCGCTGGAGCATTTACACTCTAAAAGGCAAGGCATTATACTTCAGGTTGGTACTACACAAGTTATTGCTTGTGTATCGAGCAGAATCATCATCATTATTAAGTATTTTTGGCTTTGGCTTTTAACATTATTAATTATATAAGCATACACAGATTCATGCATGTGCACACATACACATTCAAGCCTTGAGAGTGGCTCCTACTTCTAGGGGCTTTAAGACAATTTTGTTAATTTGCATCAGTAATAGTATTTTTCAGCTGGACAATTATTTCTTTTTTTCCTTCACTTTGCTACCATTACTTTAAAATTTGTATTGTTGCTATTAGGAGTTCTGTAAGAAGTCTTGTACTTGGTCCACCATACTCTTTGTTTATACTTATACTGCACATTAACATTTCCCATTATTATGTTATTTTCCTTCCTTCCTCTAGTAACTGGTTTTTATTTCTGGACAGAAAACATATGGCATCATTAATTACTTTCATATAATATAGTCTTTGGTTTGATTATATATGTGAAACTCAGTCTTATTATTATTAAGTTATGGTTTGAATCGTGTACAACATATGAAATCTGTGGTAAACAAAGTAGCACTGGAGTGTGTTTTTCTCTGCATATTTAAGGTTTATTTTGTGTATTGCACCATGTTCTTGTACAGCTCTCTTCCACCTCTGAGATATTCAATGCCAGATCAGAAAAACTTATAACCTGACCTTATCAGATTTCAGTTAAAGTTGGCTCGCTTGTAGACCCCATACAAAATAGCATTCTTGCAAAATTTCAGCACCCTGTGTCTGCAGCTTCTCTGGTGCAGGGAAGCAAAATCATAATTTTTTTTATGTTGCATTCACTAAGAATATTATAATTTTTGTACTGTACAAGCTATAAAGTGTGTATGGTATTGATACGTATTTCTTGGGAACGCTCACTTGTCATAAAGTACTTACCACAACTAATAGCAGTGATATACTCAATTAATATGCAAAGAGATTCACCATGACAAGTGAACTATAGTACTTGACACTGCCACAAAGGTTCGGAGAATACTGGTGACTCTGTATGGTGATGAATCACAGCTTGAAAAGTGAGAACAGGTTACAAAATGATGTACAACAGGTTTCACGAAGAAGTCGTGATAGTCTGTAATGTAATGATTATATTACAAGAGATTTATCCCATGGCTGTTCCGGGATGACATTTTTCTTTGTGTTACAGTACAACATTATACACCAAATATAATTTTTTCATAAAAAAAATAGCTTTTTGTGAGATATTGAAGGTCAATTGTCACATCAGGTGGCAATGAAACCAAAACTACAGTATTTGAATGTGAGTTACATATATCTCAAAAGAGCATTTCAGTGGCATTAAAACAAGCTCCATATGAGTTTTGCACCTTGTACAGATAACTTTCAGTGGAGGCATTGTTTCAAAAATGTCAGCGTCTTATGATTTTTCACCCCTGAACAACAAAAACTGCAAGACAATGGGTGCTGAAATTTTACAAGAATATTATTTTCTGTGGAATCTTCAATCTCATCAACTTTCACCAAAATTGGAGGTCAGGTTGAAATGGCACTTTTCTGTGGTGATTTGGAATACTTAAAAAAATCGCATCTTGTAGCATCTAATGGTGCCATCTGTAAGAGTGCTTTATCCTCATCAAGTAATCCGTTTTCAACAGGACCAATCCTTTATTCACGAATCTTGTGTTGTTCAAAAATGGCTATTGTGGCAAGCTGATGTTGAACTCATTGACTAGCCACCACGAGCGCCTCATGTGAACCCCATTGAGAATGTGTGGAGTAAGGTGAAGAAAACTGTGAGGGAAACCTTGTCTGACCTCCCTTTGAAAAACAGAGATGCTCTGTGGACATTTGTTTTGAATGGCTGCAATGAAGTTGCTTCATATCAGTGTTATGTTTGATCTCTAATTCATTTTATGTTAAAATGAATGAGATCTTGTCATTGAGGCTCAGGGTTTGTGAACACCTTATTAAAGATGCCAGGCATTAAAATGGCTATTTTAAGGGCTAACATTCTGAATAATAGTTTGTATATATAATCAGTGTACTTTACAAAACAAAAACGCTTCTGCAGTATGTTTTTTGCAAATGAAACTGTTTGTCTTTGGTCAGTTTCTAACATGGAAACTTTGACTCAGAATTCCAGTGAATAAGACACAGAAAAATAAATACCTGCCTCACTCGCATGTCTAGCCTCACCAATGTAGCACGCATGATACAGTGTGAATATGAATGATAATACTGACGATTACCTATTGCTTGTGATTTACAGGCAAGCAACAGATATTTTTGTTTAAATATTACAATCTGCAAATTTTGGTATTTATTTCTAGTTGCTCTTGATAATATATCTGCATGGAAGTTTTGAAACATAGTGGTTGAGTAGTATACAAGTGTACAATTAGTGTTGGTGTGAATACAACTTACCCATTGAAAGGAAAAATTATTCAGATATTCAGATTCAAGCTCACCAAAGTATTCATCATTTCAACACTAGTCCCATACCCTAACAGCTTGCCTACAAGGGAACTCTGTTAACTCATTGCAGTATAGCCTTCAGCATATTTTCTTTTTGAAAGACTTTATGATGTGACTCAGATAAGTCATAAATATTAATTCACATTTTATTTAAATTAGGCAGACATATTGGTGCCTTTGCTCAATATACGTCTGGCATAAATGATGTAGTTAATTGAAGCGAGGGGGATAAATGATTTTGGTGTAGGTGTGTGTGCATGGAGATGTTTGTGTCTGAATTTTATTTCTGCAAATGTATGTGCTGCAGATGGTTAAAAGGTCAGTGAGTTGTGCTCTCCTGCTGTGATTTTAAAGAGAGCAACTTTATATCCCTTTCTTCTTTGTTTTGATAGCTGTAAGTAATATCATAATTGACTTCTTTCTTTATCAGTATTTTACTTATTTTAATGGACTCTTCATTCATCCCTTTGTTTACATGTCCCCCCCCCCATGATATTGGTGTTGCTTCAGATTCAACTTTGATACACTTTTCATTCTGATAAATACTGGATGTTTATTCCTTGAGTTTTCTGATCACCACAGTTACATGAATTCTTAAGCACAGGAGTTACGTCGCTTTTACTTCCTCACCTCCTTTTGTGTAGCTTAGGTTAACCTTGTATTCTTGTGGCTTCATTTCCCCTCTTTTATTGTCAGTTATGCTGTGTATGTAGTCGAATATTGCATTTTATTCTTCTGGTAACATTCAGTTCATAAAAGAAGAAAAAAAAATCATACCCCACTGTCATGAACGATTAATGCTATATATAAGCTGTTTTTGTCCTACCTTTTCTTTCTTTTAGAGGTGATTCTGCAGATGATTGGTGTGGCCATTTGGATCCGCTTGCCATTCTGTGCCCTTATGAACTGATGGGTAGCTGCCAGGATGAGGAGTGCAGTTACCAGCATCATACAAAACACAGAACAACATGACATTCACAGACAGATAAACCGAGTTCGCTTGCAGTCACGTGTACCGTGCTTCTTCCCTTCTTTTACCTCGTTAAAAAACTGCATCATCGAGCATTTGCAGGCGGTGTTGTAAGTCAGTTTGAAAACTGTAGACTATTTTTATAAGTACGTTTACTTTTTAGAGGATCGTTAAAGTCTTTGTGCTACACTTAGTGTGGCATGTACTGTGGCATGTGAATTACTACCAACAAATAGCTAACTCTTATTACCACATATTTTCTATCAGTAAGTTTGCATATGCATATGTTACCTGTTCATTGTTTAAACTTCTTCATAAATACAAAACACATGTTCTCATTTATACGTAACGTATTATCGTGTTGTTAAGCTTGTTCTTGTTAGGCCCCGTTCATTTAAATTATTTGTGTTTTTATTGCACTCAGACAAATGTTTGGTTTCTTATTTTAGTATACGTTTGCTTATATACCATGCATATCATGCCTGTAATTAAAAATCTCTTAACATGAGATTGCTAGTTAAGGAACTGTTTCAGTTTTTTATTTATTGGTTAATTCAAACTTCATCCATGTAAATATATCATGTTCATATTATTTGGAAATCTGTAATACTGTTTTTATAAAAAAAGTTTTGTGTTAGACATCTCTGTTTCCAGACACCAGATGGAACTGTAGCAGTTGCAGAATGAAATGGATGATGCTAAGGTAACTAAACAATGAAATAGTTACTCATTAAATGGGAATGGGAAATGCAACAGTATGACTTCAAAATGCTTGAGATTGTATTACATGTTTCAGAATGTTGGCTCTTCAGAGGCATATTTCCCAACCAACAGAACTAGGTTGTGTCACCCCATTGAAGTACACCTCTTTGGAATTTGAATATAGATTTACATGTCTAGTCCCATCTTGAAATGGTTCATATCTATCTTACCCAGTGGATTTTGTTAGTTTTCAATAAAATCCTGTGGTTTTTACAAAGTGTGATAAGGAAATGGTTGTGTGGTTAACAATATAGTTATTTTCTATTTACAAAAAATGAAATGTACGGTATTCATCACAAAAAATTTGATGAATTTCTGATACCTACTTTCCTTTAAACACTTCCATATGCAGAGATAAATCTTTTGTTTGTGAAACCAAACAAAAAATAAATGTGTACTTCTATTTATGAAGGGGCTAACAAACATTTGTTTTTGTGATTGCTGCAATCACTTCTGAAAATGTAGATTTCAAAATTTTGTATTATTTGCATTATCTTTCATAGACCAGAACCTTTTTGTGTCTTTTGTAATTTTAAAAATAAAATTGGGCCCTTCCTCCAGAGTCAGTAGCTATATATAATTCATCTTCATTGAAATCCACTTCTACATTCATCTTTTACTAAGTAACTACTATGTTGTTGACTAGCAAGGATATGCACTTGGGACTGTGTTTGGTCTCTCAGAATCTTTACTTAGAAGTAACTGGAAGGTCTAATTTCTGCACTTTTATGGGATTGCATTGCTGAAAATCCTGTCTGCTGTAGATGATGTGTATCGACATCATGCCCAGTATGATAAAAATTGCATGAAATGCCAAAAGTCAAGACTGCTTGACTGGTTATCATGTTTACAAGAGCCCACAGAATAAATATAATAGCAAAGATTGTTTATGAGTAGCGTAAAGTAAAGTAAAGTTTGTCCCACTATACGCCATGTAGGCGTTTGGGGTGAGTGGAGGTATAGTTCCTCTCTTCCTTGACCTCAGCACTAGATGGGGGTGAGTGGTCAGCATCACGCCCCGGCCGGCTTTACCCCCGGGAAAGGACCCTGGTACCCATTGTAGAGGAGGCTGGGTGGGCCCCAGAGCCGGTCTGGACGCAGAGGCTAGAGGAAAAATCCTCTGCCCCCGTCGGGGATCGAACCTCGGCCGTCCAGCCCGTAGCTAGTCACTATACTGACTGATTATGAGTAGCGTACAATTTTAAATATATGGTGTTTATTAAATACTCATTAGAACTGAAGCAGCAGACTTTTCCTGAAACTATTCACCACTTGGTTCTAGTAAAAACAACCGTAATAAATTATCACAAGGGTAGTTGAGCATTGTACCATTTATGCTTCTCCTGCCATTGTAATTGGGGAACTAGTAAAGATGGGGTTTTCACAGCATTGAAGATGTAGATTCTGGGTTTGTCATGCTGTCAGCTTGTAGGAACATATAGTGCTTTCATATTCATTTCTGCCCGGAAGACAGAGTATATGTCCCTCCGAAACATTCATAGCCACCTAACAAGACTACAGTGCATTACATCCTAGATGATCATTGTCCACCTTTTGCACTTAATTGCTTCTTCATATGTATTTTGAGTGTAAGATTGATCATATAAAGCTATTAAAAAAGCAAACCATGCCTGCAAAATTTTAGTATGATGCTTGTGTTATAAGAAAGAGGTTTTGTTACAACAGTCCTGCTGCATGTTATTAAGAGATGGAAGCTGTAGTTATTTCATTTATATGCTTGAGGATGTAATTTGTATCCATTGTCATTGTTCTTATAAATATTTACTTCATCCATTATGTACATAAAACCTTTGTCCTAACGTATGAAAACTTTTTTGTTAAAGTGTATATGACGTTTTTATGTCAGCCCATAGCTTTGTGTTTCAGGTATTATGGCAAGGTAGTTCCTCCACGAGTTCTGATCCGGTGATACTAATCCAGTTCATTGGTAAGTCAACAGAAACAGGAGGATGTTATTTTAGAACTTGTACAGTAGTTGCTTCCATTCAAGTTTGACACAGTCAGATTCATGCCTTGTTTCTGTTTGTTCTTTACTGTTTAGTCTTCAGAACCCACATTTTGGTCTTTCAGGAACCAGCACTCCTCTTTAATTCATGTAGCTGTCCATACTTTTAATTTCTTGTAATGTGTGTCATACACAGAACAAGATTAGCACAGTGAAAGCGAAAGCTCTTAAGGGGTCTTGGAAATGAAACATTGAACCAATTTGTTATGTTCTTGAAGTACTGTGTCTTGTAACATAAAATTTCTCTTGTACCAGTCTTGTTTCTGACTTCAGAAATATGTGTGTAAAAAGATGTATACTATTATATGTAACATAATAATATACAGTATTTTCTTATTTTGTGTGTAGTTATAAATTTTAAGATACAGCCTTTTGTCAGTAATGTCATATTCTCTCTAGTTATCCCAGACATTTCCAAATTCTATCTAATAATGAACCTAAAATTTGTATATATCAGGAGTGTTTAAATCTCGTATAATGTAGCACAAACAATGTAGATGTAGGATTATTTTTATATTAAAATAACTTTTCTATAATAGTTGGTTGTCTGTGTAGAATGTGTATAAATCTTCTGTATGATTATTTGTGGTGATCTCATAACTGAATGGAGCTGCGTAATATGGTGATCAAGATGCAACTGTACAAGCAGGGACAATATAAGTGGAATATTTTCACAAATTCATATTCAGAGGAAGATAAAGGAGCCATAGAACTATTGGCTTTGAGTCTGAAGATGAGGAAGACTGATAATATGCTTCTTTTATGAATGATGAATATAATAACTGTCGGAAGTGATTGATGCTCATCTAACCTTATAAAATTAATGGTGAAATAAAATGACGTATACTTGGTAAGTGGTAAACCTACATATAAAAATATTTGTTAAACTTTGTTGCCATGATAAAGATCACATTGGTAGCGGTGATATAAGAAATATCAATTAAAATTAAAGTAAGTGTTTTAAACAGTAATGGAAAGATCAAGTCTTCACAGGAGTAAGCAGTAGTGCAAGGGGAAGGAAGAAACATGGTCAAAAATGTATATGATGGAAACATACTTTGACTATGAATAGAACTGCATCTCAGCTTGGAAGAGGCAGGAGATCCTATGAGGGTGATGTGAAGAATAAATTCAAGTTGTTATATTTTGCAGTTTATTCACCATATTTAAAATAAAAGTTGATTTTGTCCACCTTATGACACAACTGTATAAATATTTTAGAGTGACTGAATTACATGTATGCTTGAAAAATATTGCCAGTACTTGTGCTGCTGTTTTTATTTATGAATTCCTTGAATACTGTTCCTACACCTCCCTTGTTAAAGTCTGTGACTGCAGCGGGGATATCAGCCAGTGTGAAATCATTGGTTATGATTATTAAATTAAATTGGTCAGAATTAAATAGGATTGCATCTAAAGGCCACAACTTATTGTACAAGGCTTCATTATTCATTTTGTTGGGAAGGGTGGGGCTAAATATGTGAAATATTCTATTTTTAATGTAGAAATAAGTATTGATACATGCTGTGCTAAGAAATTGGATAATTTTTAAATGTATTTTTAATGTGGAAAAGTTTTGTGCAACTTAATGTGACTAAACAACTAAATAATTTGATTGGTATTTGTATGCATTTGCTAATATAAAACGTATAAGTACAACCTTTATAACTGTTGTCTTTATCTCAGGAAGTTAACTTATGCTTGAAACTGCTACATGAAGGGGTGGATACTCTTGGTTGATTTTGTTTCCTCCTCAGTACCCTCAGATCTGTTGTGATTGCCATGTGTTTCCCAGAAAAATATGGCAATTGATAAAATTCTTGTTATATTATATGGATATTCTGAATTTATTTTGAAATTTACATTACAGATATGAAGAACTTTATTTTATTGCTGGGTCTTGTGGTAATGGAGTGTGTTTATAAATACATGTGCTGAATGGTATGAGATATCTACATGATACACCACGAATCAGCCAAGTCACATTTATCTGAAACGAACAATGTACTGACAAGATACTCTGGATATTATAATCAACTTTATATGCAGTAGATTTTATATTGTTATCTTCTGAATCAGAACTGCTTAGGATTTCAGCAAATTGAGACAGCACTTCTTCTTCTGTGGCTCTCCGGTCCGTATTCTGTCCATGGCCTCAATTCTCCTCTTCCATTCAGTACTCTGTTTGGTCCATCTGTCCGAGGCTTTGATTGAGGTTTGGATGTACAACAGCTGAGAGGTCAAGACTAAAGAAACGGACTAAGGCGGAAGCTAACTTGACAGAAATAATTCTCTACTTCCACCATAGCAATCACCCCAAGGAGTGTCCAAAGGGTGTCGTCTGGTAGTAGTCTCAAACAGTGTCAAAGAACCACACACGGCACAAAAAATGTGACTACAATGATGAAATGATACAATCCCAACTTACATTCGAAAGGGTATCCAAGTGTGGACAAACGACAGACAATCTAAACAAGGGTGTGCATCAGTTCACTGCTGACACACCTGACAACACAAAGCATGTTCTTGTATTCCCGCACTTTTCAAACAACAGTACTGCTAACAAAAGTATCCAAACTATGACAGACTATGGCAAGAAGAATGTTTTTGACTTCTTGAACGATACCTGCCAAAAATATTACGCTCATTTAGAAGATGAGGCTGTAAACGAAGTATAGTACTTCTCAAAGGAATGATAAATTTCAGACAAAATACATACTTTTTTAAATAAAAATTTACAAATTGTATGACAAAACGTGTTATACATATGGCATGGAGGTCTTTTCGGAAGGACAGAACACGAGCGACCACAGATACGGTAATAACACACGTTTCAGTAAAGCGCTTGACAAAGAAGGTAGAAATGTACGGACGTAAGTTGTACACGAGCAGCTTCTTTTCCTCTCCTGACTTATTTGACGATCTGAGTAAACCAACTGTTGTGGATCACTGCAACATAAGAGAAAGAGAATGCCACATGACACGACCAAACACAAACGACTGGAATGTGGTGTTAATCGGCCTTGGACAAGAGATAACGTGACGGTAATTGTCTGCAGAGATAAACGTGAAGTTTATGTACTGACAAATGCACACAATCCTCCAACAACAGAAGGTAAGAAGATTTCTGTCTTCTGGGTTGTTGCGCTGTGTAGTCTGGTAGATGTTTACCAACGTTTCAGAGGTCATACTGTCTCCATCATCAGGGCGATGATGGCGCCCTGATGACGGAGGCAGTATGACCTCCGAAACGTTGGTTAACATCGACCAGACTACACCGCGCAACAACCCAGAAGACGGAAATCTTCATACTAAGAATCGCCCTGATGACGGAGGCAGTATGACCTCCGAAACGTTGGTAAACATCTACCAGACTACACCGTGCAACAACCCAGAAGACAGAAGATTTCATACTCACCACTGTGAAAATCTCAAATGTTACACAACAGAAGGTAACTTTGTGACGAACATAGAAATGCTTTGAAGCTAGAAATTATGTAAAAAGACAGAATGGTAATCATATTCTTAATCCAATGGCGGACTTGGAAATGGTCAAAAACTTTTTTTCGAGCTGTTAGTCTTACTACTGTAAACAGCTGCCTCCTTTCATCATGTGATGCCAAAACGAAACAGAAATTCTCGACTTGCCCTCGTGTGAAGGTTGATTGGAAATACTGAGGGTTTACCTCGTTTCCGTCATCCTGGTGGCAGGACAGCTGCCATGAAAGAAAACTTCGATTCGAGGTAAACTTCAGGAGTCACTTGCCAATGCATTTTTCCAGAGTGAATTGACACACCTGTTTCCCCACGAGAGATGCAAAGAGAGTGCAAATAAAAAGGCAAGAAATATTACGTGGAGCTGTGTATTAGTGTTTTGAAGTGCACCGTAGTAAATACAAAATGTGAGGTATTGAGGAGTGCTAGTAGGTTTCGAAGCAACAGAAATCTCACCAAACGGGTATGTGAAAAAGTAATGTATTCTGCAATGAGCGAAACCTATCATAACTGAAATGCACGAATCCCAGCGCATGAGTCTCTCGTAGGATGGGGGTACTAAGATTTCAAAGCCCAGCTAATGGGTCTCGCGTAAGTTAAAGGTTACGTGATTAGGAACTTAATGGGTTATACACATTATATAGGTAGGTTAGGTGGAGGGGGCAAAGAATAAGTACTGAGTTTTGGTTTGAAAACCTCTTAGGGCAACTCCATGAGAGATAAAAAGGAGGTAAAATTTGAGAGGTGGATCTCTGGATTAATAAGATGTTATGGTTGGAGATAGAACTGGCCTAGAATCATGTATGGTAGTGGTATTTTGTCATTAACAGTGTTGAACATTTGTTGTTTTATTATCAGAGAATTAATGAGCTATTCTCAAGCAATCACTTATTTGAGAGTGGAATTTGTATCCAATGTGTCTGTCTTCTCCATTACAGTTTGGTATAATAAATGACGTGACAGATTATTTAATTATCCGCAGCCAGTTGCTAATACAAAGAATGGATTCAATCACTCTGTAGTTTATAATTATTGCTAAGGCTGGACTTTCTCATGAAAGCATTGAGTGCCAGATGCTGACTCTGAGACCTGAAGAGACTTCATTGAATTCAGTAGCTGTGAAAAGCTTCAAATCTTACATACAGAAAATTAATTTTTAATTTAGTCAGTCCTGAACTTATTACTTTAATAACAAGATTTAGTTTGAGCAATGGTAGTAAAAAATACATAGTAACAGGATGCAATTACATTTTACTTATTCCATTCCTTTAATTATTTTAAGTATATTGAAATAATGTGATACCATATCCTTTCAAAAGCATATGAACATTGTTATGTGCTTCATTCCACAATTTTAAAGATCTGAAATCAACTTGTCTGCATACATTGCTTTAATCTGAAACTGACTTCACTGGATCTTATTTTATTTAAAAGTGAATAAGGTATTTAAGTTTCCAAATTAACTGCAATGTCAAATATGGATACTTAGTATTCCATTATATTAAATTCTATATTTTTGGGATCTCTACTCCACTTGTCAATCACACATATCAATTGTATTGATTAAACCGAGTTTCTTTCTGTTCTTGACCACCTCTGTACATTTTCACTTTTTATTTCGCAGTTGACTGCTGTTTGACATGCACGTATTGCCATGCTATCAAGAAGTTAAGTAATTTGATAACCTGTATTGTCATTCCAAGTTAAAACATGTACTTAATTTTTATTTTTTCTTTGTACAATTTGCAAATAAGTTATTATATTGCAGAAAGGAATTTCTGACTATTGACACATTTCTTATTTGATTCAGATGCAATTCTGTATTGAGTCTGCATAAAAGTAAATTTAAATTCAAAATTTTATTTAACCAATGATTTCCAAGAAGCTAAAATTTGACTTTATCAGCATTCCCAAATACAGCCAGCTTAACCACATCAAACATTGATAAATGCTATTAAAATATAGATCTCACATATTTTTATTTAATGTTTATATTTATTTATTTAGGATGTCAGCAAATGGACAGTTAAGTTTGTTACTGTATTATGTAATAAACTAATTATTAATATCAAAATTGTATATATATATATATATTTATTTATTTATTTTTCTAATTTTCTATATTTTTTTCAGCATATAATATCATTGTTAATTAACATTCCTTCCTTTAGAAGAAAGAGTAAACTCATGTGGTCACCATATCTTTGTGTGCCTTCGCCTTTCAACTTTTTATCAAGCTTATCAATAAAAGGAAACTTAATCAATAAATGTATAATCAATGTATTGCATGTTTTAAAATACAGTAAGCATCGGTTATTGTGATCATATTTGTGAATTATATTTAGATTCTATTGAACAATGACTCTAATACATGCATACATACATATTTTGTTATATTCCATGGATCCATAAGATAGTCAGAAGACAATAGGATGTGGAAAAAGTCATAATAATAATACAACTGAAAACTGTTAGAATATTACAGATCTTATTCAGTAATGTGCATATTCAAAATGAATTTAAGCTTTATTACGTAATGTAACATTAATTATACATTGAGAAATTTCTTTGTCTGTTAACAATCTATTAACTTGAAGATCATGATCTTTGTCTACACAGTCATTAAGCTCCTGTTCACACATGTAGACAGTTTCTCCATATGATCAGTTTTGTTTTTTGAACACTGTTGAAACATATTGAACTTAATTTCTTAAAGCAGTTGTTGATATGAGAGACGCAAACTTTATCCTGCATGAGATTTAATGTTTCTGTGGTGGTGATGGTGATGGCATTCTTCTGAATTCTAGTGCCATGTGGACTGGCTGGTTGATACCAATGTTATGCTTCTCTGAAACACTGGTATCTACCAACCGGTCTATATGGTGCCAGAACCCAAAAGTTCATCATCTTTATCCTAAGTAACTGATACCTGTTTGGTGATGTTGGATGAAGTTCCCAAGTCCGTCATCTGTAGCTTGGATAATTCTTTGTCTCATGTCCAAAGTTTTTATAATTCCCTGATTAAGAGGTTGAATGTGTGATGTAGTGTTCTGAGGTAGAAAAATTAATTTAGTGTTCTCTAAGTTCAGCTTTGAATGTGCCAGGCAGTTTTCCAGAACTAGTGCAGTTTTTTTTCTTTTTCGTGTTTAATTGTCTATCACAGTTACAAAGGTGTCTTCAAATATAGAAGCTGTCATCCAAGCACTAGTGTTTGCATATGTAACACAAAGATATTTTACTCCTTTGAAACATCTAGATCTACCCTTTCTGATCAGTAATGGATTAATTTTGTTTTCCCATTATATTTCAAGCTAATAAGACTGCAATTCTGTCCTTGACATTCTTTCCTGCAGAAGCTGACATATTTTTAAAAATCATGTAATAATCTGGAGTAGCTCTCTAGTATAGTTCGACTTTGTCTATATTAACACTGTAAAGCCCAGTGGTTTAACATTCACTTACTCTGCGTTTTGTACTTAAGGATTTCATTTGTTTCTTAGTGTAAATAGATTATATCCTTAAACAGAATTAACCAATTGACCTTTATAATGGTAAAGAGTTGTGTTTTCTTTGCAGTATGAACTGTATTCATAAATATTATTTAAACAAATTTTGGCTAGAAAGGGTTTAATATATCCTCTGGATTATAAGTGTTTAACATAGCTTTCCGATTAGTTTGTAGCCAGATGTTAGCTACGTAGCTATCAGAATTTTGTTTTCATCCACAAAGGTTTTTATAAACAATGATGTGTCTCTCCTTCCGCCTTGTCAGCCATCCATTGGTCACTTTAAATTGTTTTCTGATTTTTGACTGAAATCATTGGCTTTTTGTAATAGAGTACTGTAATATGGTGCGTTATAAGAACTGGCTTGCTTGAACTAATCCAATATCACTTCATCTACTGTATGACATTTTCTTTCACTCTTCCTTTTCCTGTTCTTTCTCGTCATATAAACATTTAGCATGTCATGAAATTTTAACAGGTTTGACAAAGTTGAGTGAGGCCCTCCCAATTTTGAGCCAATTTTTAAACAATCTTTTTAAATTTACCTTGCTACATATATCTATAAGATGCAACTTTTCTGTTACACTCAATTGTTTTCTGTTTCCGTTTACTGACATTTTTATAAAATATGATTAAAATTTATACAGAAAAATCTCCACTGATTAATAAGGACTAACAGCAACACAAAGAAATAAACAACTGACAGAAATACATACAAACATTTTGCTTGTTGTGTTTAATGTATGGTAGTGGAAAATTTATTTTGCCATTATTAAAATTATTTATTGTGTGGATATTGAGAAATAATATGGAAACAAGTATGAGCGAGAGGTCACTTGTATTCTAGAATAAGTTGAAGCATAATCGGGAGAAGAAATTATACACAGAAATATGTACGCATGAGTCTTGGAGAAGTATAGGATAGTAGAAATAGAGTATTTACAGACTAGAGAGTATTAAGGAAACTTCTGATCAGGGGATTCTTGTGTATGCAGTAAACAGGAATGACGAGTCGGTAGATGCAAGATTTCCAGAAATTAGAATTAGGTAGATAGTTGCTAATAAAAATAAAGACAAACTGCAGAAAAGTGGGGTATATTTGAGCAAATATAAAGATAAAAGATAAAGGTTAGTTAAGAAATATGAGGGTGCAAAAGTTACAAATTAGGGGTTAGCAAAGATAGGGGAGAGAGTGGATAGTCTGTAAAAAGAAATAGGTTGTTAGAAAAGTGTAAAGATGAGTGTAACTACAGGCTGGATGAGTAATGTCTTACACTGTGAATTGGATCAGTAGACTCAATAAATGTCATTGTCAATGTCAGTGATTCAGGTATTCACATATGATACTTCAATCTGTGTAATGTTGGCAGAAATATAAAAAGTAAGGCAGTTTTATGTCTCAATGTGAACTTATTCCACAACACTCATGCAAAACTGAATCAGTTGTTGTATATACGATGAATGCATAATATTTACTTTGTTCTTTGAAGTTTGTCGAAGTTATTGAATCATCTTGCTGTTGACACAATACATTACGGTGTTTCACCTGACCTCATCTGTTGGATGCGTTTGCTTCTTGATAAATAGGAGTACCAGTAGAAAGCATTTATAGCTAGAAAACACATGGGAAAGACAATGCGAGATGCACGGTCTATTTTAGAGACAGAATTGTATCTTGGTGTTCGTTTCTTTCGTTTCTTCTTCATGTGTCCTTGAATACTGAGCCTATGAACGTTTGAAGTGCTGGCTGTTGGTGCATAGGTGATTCTGTCTACACTCTCTTGTTCGGTACCGGTTTCTGAACCAGCAGTGCATCCTAAACAGGATGACATGGACCATGGATGGTGAGCTGCTCTGCTGCTGCTGCTGCTGCTGGTGGTGATGGTTGAAGGAGTGATTTGGCAAGCTGAGAGAGGTATTACCTCTAGTAGTCTGCTGCTGGTACCGGTGTCCCCATTAAGGGAACTGAAGGTATTGAGGAAGGCACCTTCATTGCTGTTCTTTGCCTGTTCATCCTGGTGGAAGGGTAGACAATATTATTTCATAGTACGTTTAATCAATATGGAAGGACTGTACAATACTCATGATTCTGCTTGCATGCAAATGTACCAATCACATTTTATATCTAGTGATATCAATTAATTTCCAGGGAAATGTTAGTCTCAGTGAAAATAATATGTGTACTAAAAATCTGTGCGTACTGAGGACTTATAAGGAAAACCCACCGGTTATAATTAAAGTCCTTAGCAGTGAGAAGCAGCGTGCTACAGCGCCACTATGAATCAGACGACGGAACGATCAACTCATATTGTCCTTCGACTGAGCAAGGTGAAAAATGGCGTGCGAATAGCAAAGAGGACTAGTCTAATATTTAACTATTAATGTCATAAATTAAATGTTACATTTGTAGTGCGGCATATCAGGAATGGAGGTGGATATATAACGAGTTGCCTTACCGTGTCGACTGCCCTCCTTCCGTCTTCTCCTTGAGTCCAGTTTTCATCGTCCGAACTTGAATCGGAACTAAGATCTGAGCTGAAGTAGCACTCGCCAGAACCGTATTTTGTGAAGTAGTGTACCACTGCAAACTAAAACGTATTATTATTACAAGCAAACCCGCGCGAGTGAGTACATGAAAGT